GTCGCGTAATCAACACTACGTCTACCTCGGGTATTTACGGTAACTTTGGCCAGGCAAACTACGCAGCTGCTGTACGTGTTTCTGCATCCCCGTACGCACAAAGTTACTTGACTGACAGGCACGCAGAAATGCGGTATCTTGGGCTTCTCTCGCGCACTGGCTCTCGAGGGCTACAAGTACAACATCTACGTCAACACTATCGCGCCCAACGCTGGTACAGCCATGACTAGGACGATCATGCCCGAGGAGATGGTCCAGGCCTTCAAGCCTGACTACATCGCCCCAGTTGTTTTGGCCCTTTGCAGTGATAAAGTGCCGAAAAACCCTACCGGCGGTCTATACGAAGTCGGCAGTGGCTGGGTTGGCCAGACCCGCTGGCAACGAAGCGGCGGCCACGGCTTCCCGGTCGACGTCCCTTTAACACCTGAGGAGGTGCTGAAACACTGGGATGCTATTCGCAACTTTGAGGATGGATGCGCCGACCATCCCGAAAAGACACAGGATGGTCTTCAGAAGGTCATGGCGAACATGGAAAACAAGACCAACAAGGTATGACTTTGCACTTCCCGATGATGCTGTCGGCACACGTTGTATAGTAGCGCTAGTCTTAAGAAAAAAAAACCGAAGTTGTTGACCATGAGTTACAGCAAGACGAATCGTCTGGCAGTGGATCGCAGTACCTCGAAGCCATCGAGGCCGCGATGAATGCCAAACCAAAGGGCACTGAATTCCAGTACGAAGAGCGTGACGTCATGCTTTACAACTTGGGAATTGGTGCCAAGCGCGAGCAGCTGAAGTATGTCTTCGAGGGTGCTGATGACTTCCAAGTAATTCCGACGTTTGGAGTCATACCTCCCTTTGGAACAGAAATGCCATACAACTTCGACGATATCGTTCCGAATTTTTCGCCAATGATGCTGTTACACGGGGAGCAGTACCTTGAGATCAAGAAGTATCCCATACCTACAACGGCGAAGCTCGTATCGTATGGAAAGCTGCTCGAGGTAGTTGACAAGGGTAACGCTGCCATCGTCAAGAACGGCATCACGACTGTCAATGCAGAGACTAAGGAGCCCATCTTCTACAACGAGATGACAGTGTTTTTGAGAGGCTGTGGTGGCTTTGGCGGCCAAAAGAAACCAGCTGACCGCGGAGCCAGCACCGCTGCAAACAAGCCTCCCTCTAGGCATCCTGACGTCGTCATTGAGGAAAAGACAACTGAGGAGCAGGCTGCATTGTACCGACTGAGCGGCGACTACAAGTACGTTTGCCCCCAAGATTGCCCTTTCCTTGTTGAGTTCACCCTAATGTGTTCGGTCGTAGTCCTCTGCACGTCGACCCAGCTTTTGCCAAGATGGGAGGTTTCAAAGCCCCCATCCTTCATGGCTTATGCTTCTTTGGCATCGCCGGCAAGGCCGTCTATGAGCGTTTCGGCCCCATCAAGAACGTTAAGGTGCGTTTTGCTGGCACCGTAATTCCTGGCCAAACTCTGGTTACGGAAATGTGGAAAGACGGCAGTAAGGTCATCTTCCAGACCAAGGTGAAGGAGACGGGCAAGCTAGCCATCGGCGGCGCCGCAGCAGAGCTATTGGCCGATAAGGGTAAGATCTAGCGTGTTCGGATTTGCTCGGTGTAGTTGCAAGCTGGAACTCCGGCAGGCTTCATAGAAATGGACCTAAGTTCGTGGCTCGACACGTAAATTCATGTACAATCAATCAGTGACATTACGTGTCTTCTCTTCGTAATGATACATGTTATCAGGAAATCGATGCAATGCATCCAGATTTAGCCTGTTTTCCTAGTACAAAGTAGTACTTGCTGCAAATAATTCTATCATAGCGAGCCGATACGGACGTTTTGATGATCCCAACCCCTATTGGGCATCCCGCTTGGGACGGCTGGCTGGCAGAAGGTGCCATTCCTACATCACGACGACTAGATGTGCTCCTGCAAGCCAAAAGTGGGACAACCATTGAATTTCAAGTCGCCCTGTCTCGGCCCAAACCACGGAAGTGGTGTTCTTCAGGAGCTTGTCTAACCAGGCAACAATGTGGGTGATCTGTAAACCACTCACTGGCCGGACGTCAGACGAAGCTGGTTTCGACTATAAAGTCGCACACTTCGGCCAAGGTCGGCAATCGTCCGTTCTTGATGCAACTTTCGACCGACGAGACTCCATTCCTAGCGAAGCCCGTCTCCAAAAAAGCCTTCTCTGCACCACTCAACTCCCGGTTCTCCATCTCCCGCCACTTGGCCTCGGCCTCCTCCTTCGCGTGCCTCAGCACGAAGTCCGTATCCTCACTCTCCCATAAATTGCACCTCGTGCACTCAGTGCATGGTCGCGGGTCGCCATCAGGCCTGAAGTGATCACAGAAATGCCGGTAACCTTCGCCCTCGCCATTCATGCCCCCGATGTCTTTGCGGCATACGTAACACATCTTGTATCCGCAAGGGCAGGTAAGTTTGTTACAGCCTGAGTTCTTGACGAAGGACGTATGGCAACGCGGGCAGACTCGTTTGATGGCCATGCTCATGGCCTGCTCCACTTGTGTACGCAGCGCAACTAAGGATGACTCGTTGCACACGTGAATGTCTGTCCACGCTTTGGAGCAGCATAGACAAGAATTCTTGTTGCAATCAGGGTTCTGACAAGTGAACTTCAGTCCGCGACGCCGCCTTCGATGGCGACCGAGAGCGAGTTTCCATTGAATTACGAGGTAGTCGCCCAACGTGCGCTCGGTGCTGACCAAGAGACAGACGACTGATGAGAGTAATATTATGGGGAGAATGAAGGGCACCGTTAGGATGCAAAGTAAAATTAGTAAAAGGCTAAGAAGGCTGTCAAGCCTAACGCTTAATCGTGTCTCGTAAGCCGGCAGGTAGATGTCATCAACTTCGGCATATTCGCAGAATGGACACCGGATGAGCGGTAAGTTCGATGCCAGCAGGCTGTTTTCCGCCAAACGTTGGTCGAGCTTGTGGAGGATTTCTGCTCCTTTCTTCTCCTCTAGCATTGCGCGGCGCATATGATCGTACGGGATAAAGCCAGAGCATCCGTCCCCTTCGACCGCCAGGCATCTGAGCGTGCCGGAATCTATATCGATGCTGCTGTGCCAACCCTGGCCAAAAACAGCCTCTTTGATGGAATGTTGAACGCAACGAAAGCATAGCATGTGGCCATCCGCATTGCAGTTCGTGAATTCCTCGAAGGTGGACTCGGTAAAGCAGCAAGCACATTCGTGATAGGCGTGAACCTCCTCGGCCTGTTCGTTATTCAGTAGAAGGGCATAACCGTGGTCTTTTTCCTCCTGCGTTTGCCTGGCCCTCTCCTTCAGTGGTTGGATTAGATGACGATACAATTCGCCGTCCAGTTCGGCATTTCCCGTAGCTTTCAAAGACGGCACGATAGCGCCCTGTCCGGTTGACTTCCAGACTACTAGGGGATGGTTCTCGGCGTCGACAGATGCCACAGGCTTCCTCCGGAGGAAAAGAGAGGATATGGTAAAACGCCAGGACTTCGACGAGAGAGACACGAGGATTTTGCGTGCTTCGAGATATGAATAGTTGGATTCCGCAAGGACAGCGTTGATAGTGGATCGCGAGAGACCCTTGAACTCGTGCCAGGCCAAGGCTTGAACGGCCTGCTTGTAGTCAGAGGCTCGAAATGTTTCGACACGGGGAACCAGCAGGTTTTTTGGTTCTCCTAGGTCTTTTTCGTGCCTTTGGGGCTCTGTGCGCTGATGACTGGCGACTCTCCAGCGACCTTTGACCCAGGCGACACGGTTTTTCAGAAGGGCGTCGGCAACTACGGCAAGCCTGGACTCTTGGTCGAAGTTGGAAAGCATTTCGCGGAAAACCTGGATCTGGACGTCGGGAAACACGGCGGCCAGGGCCACCAAACTGTTATTAAGTTCGCGTATATCGGGGCAGTCGGCTGGCAGACTGCACAGGTGTGATTCGTCGTAGATGTAACCATTGTGAGAGGTGGTGTCCTCGGTCACGTCCGAGTCAACATTCAGAATGTTGTCGACTTTGTCGGTGGATGAAGGAGCCGAAGGCTTTGTGCGAGGAGAATGCACTCGTTCGGTGGAGGAGCCGAGGAAGGTCGTGAAGCCCATTTCGATTGCTCATGGCCGTGGTAGGCTTTGCATGGCGCGAAAGCAGTACTGCGACGCGGTTGAATCGGACCGACGAAGTAGGTGTCAACGAAGTTGCATTGACATTGGGATCAGAGCAGATTGATGCGGTGCGACTGAGAGCAATATGCCAACCGCGCGCGGCATGGACACAGCTGAGGGGTTGTCGAGCTAGGCAGTCGTCGTGGAAGCAAGGTGTGTAGGTAAAGAGTCAGGAGAGGGGCATGAGGACTGTTGACAATAGTTAAAGAGGCGGTCTAGGGGATGTCGTTGTCTTTGCTTAATTTGCTGTCGCCTCTTTGGGGACTACCTTTACCCGAAGGTACCTACTAGGGCACTTGAGTGTCCCAAACGTTACCCGTGGACCCCCTACCTTAGGCCGATGCGCAACGTGCTTGCGGGGAGTCTCGGCCAGGCGGTCGGTGGGCAGGTGTTCCTCTGGGCTGGGTAGGAGGCGGCAAATCAGTACCTACCTACCTTACTCAGATACCTAATTAGGTACCATACTGCGTACCTACTTTCGTGACCCGGGCGGGGAGGCGTGCGTAAGTATTTCGGTACCTTAAGGTATGTGCCTACACACGTTGTCGAGTAACGGAAAAGCGCATTATCGGACATCTTTCCGAGCTTGCATTCGCACATTTTTTTAAGGGCTCTTTGCAGCATCGAGCACATCGCCATGGCCTCTTACTGCTGATTTATCATTTGGAAATGGATACCCAATTCCTCATTATCAAGTTAGTTGAATCTATCTATGCAGTTGCTTAACTCAACGAGTTCAGGCTCATCAACTTCGCCTAGGTCGCCAATGCTAAGTAACGCTAAGCTTTCTCGATTAAATATCCCCAGTACTGCGGATTACTTTCAAGACTTGCGATGGAGGATACCAGCAGCACCCTAGTAGCATATCAGTCGAGCCATTGACGATTTGCCTTCATTAATTGACTTACTTGGTGCTGGGGAAAGATGAGGGTGTCTGCCACAACCACGTTCTCCCGGCGCGTGCTGGTAAAAACGACTACTTCGGCAATGTCGTCGGGAGTCAGAGGCTCGCAGCCGCTGTACCCAGGCGATCGTCAGCTCAGTCTATACCAACTCCAGATGGGGGAGCGTCTGAGATGTTTGGAAAGAACATCGACGAAAGCCGTGGAGACTCCGAGGCTATTCACTTACGCGTAGACGGCGTCGGCCTTGGACTTGTCACCATAGAAGCGGACGACGGAGAATTCCTAAGTTTGGGTTAGAAAAGGAGCCGGCAGGCATTTGGCGTTCCGCCTTGAGTCGGGGACGTACAGTCTCAACCTGTCCGGGATCGATTTCGATGACGCGGATGCGAGTGGCAATGAGCTCCTTTCTCAGACTGTCCGTAAAGCTACGCACAGCAGCCTTGGTGGCACAGTAAATAGAACCACCCGGGTAGGGCTCGCGACCTGTGGTTTTACGTCAACAAAGTTCTCAACCCTATGGACCAGTTCTACCTACCGGCAATAGAGCCAATGTTAATAATGTCACCGGCGCCACCGTCGGGCCTCGACTTGAAAATGGGCAGGATGGCCTGGGTGATGTTGATAAGACCAGTGACGTTGGTTGCGAACATGACATTGATGTCTTCCTCGGCAATTTCAGGGGCTTTTGCGACGCCCTTGACGAGACCTCTGCATGCCAACATCAGTCTTACTCAATGACTGCAACCGCGAGGACCATGGGGAAAGCTGTTAAAATATCAGGGGTGGGGACTTACGCGTTGTTCACCAGGATGCTGATGTCTTTGAAATCCTCGGGTAGGTTGGGCACAAGTTGGCGGACCTCCTCCGGGTTGCTCACGTCCAATTTGACAGGATGAATCTTGACGCCATTTCCGACTTCCTCGTTGATCTTTGCGGCGATCTCTTTCAAACTGTCGATACGACGGGCTGTGAGAATGAGTTTCAAGTTATGAGGCGACGTCCGCGCGTATTCAAAGGCAGTGCTCTTTCCAATACCACTGGAGGCGCCAGTGATAAGCACCGTCTTGCCCTCAAGGCGTCTGGCGGCAGCGGTGGCAGACATGATGGTTCTGATGTGGCTCTTGTTGAAGATGGTCTGGAAGGTGGGCGATAGACGAAGGTGTTGACGAGAGCAGAGCGTAGAAGACAGCGAGCAGACTATGCGGTTCATGTGTAAGAGCCAGAGGAGGAGGGAAGGGAGATTGCAAAACTCGGGACTTAAAAGTAAGGGCCGACTTTAAAATGTTGATTTGAACCCTTAGGCCAAGGCAGCGTGTAACCTCAGGGACGAATGATTCTTAGCACGTTTCCGACTGTCAAGAGACGGATAAGACGAGGGGAAGCAGATGGTAGAAAGACGATACGGCGGACGGAATGGATAAGCCCCACTATGCGGGGTTTCAACAGCCCGATAACCGGCGGGGGAACGCGATTGCATCATTTCTATCCGAGGCGTGTGCTTTTATTATAGAACTTGGGTACGGTCGTTCATTTTCATTTTCATTTTCATTTTCATTTTATTTTCACCGCTGTAAACGACCAGAAAAGGAGTAAAGAGAACTTCGTCGCGCTTTGGCGCAGGTACTTAGGGGCCAGGCAATACCACATTGCGTGTCGTCTTCTGAAGCTGCTCGTCATACCAAGCGCCCGCTAATGGGACGATGAGTGCAAGGCAACGTCGAACTTGGCGGCATTTACTTCCCCCGCCCCTGCTGTCCAAGACTCCCGCTGCTCATCAGTAGAAGAGTGCGTATGGAAACCCACAGTAAAGAATGCACTGTCATGTCTATTCATCATGCGTTGCCGCCGGGCTCGCCAATCTATGTGTCATCTATCGTACGCCAAAACCAGACCAGCCAGCCTTATCCAAATTCAATCTGTTGAAGACACGAGCGTCGTCGCTGCCGACGCCCTTCTTCTCCTCTCCATCTCTGTCTTGATGTGCAGTTGTCGCTGCTCTTCGATCGAAATCCGATTTCGGCGATAGGCTCCCAAGCTGATCAGTATTGCCACGCCTGATAAGATGGAACCAACCTTCATGTCTTGTTGGAATGAGTCTGCGTACACCTGTCGGACAGCCATAGCTTGCGCCTCCGTCAGGCTCGTCCCCGCTCCAGTTATCGTTGACAACTGGCCTGGTCCTAGGACTCCTGCCAGCTCTTCTCTCATATGAGTGCCTAAGATCGCCGTCGACGCCGCAATTCCTAGACTACCGCCGAGAATACGGACTTGTGCGATGATTCCCTGGGCTGCAGCTGTGCTCTGTCAGAAGCGGAGATAGAAGAGGTGCAGGGCTGACGCGGCACTTACCATGGTCCGGAATCTCGGATTCTGTTGTGCCAAGGATAGTGGCCGACGTTGCTGACAATCCAAATCCGAAGCCGATCAGGGTTAAAAAACCTAGTGCCTTCGGCTCCAGCTCGACCGACGGTGATAATGTTGTTAACAGTCCGCACCCCAGCGTCATGAAACAACTTGCGGTGAACAGTGTCTCAAAGAGAAGGTTTCTGTTCTTGCTCACCAGGCCGCCAAGAGTACTGCCTAGAGCGACGGATCCTAGCATCGGCAGGAGAAGTATGCCGGCGAGCAAGGAGCTTTTGTTGTTGACGATCTGCAGGTGAACAGGGAAGGCGTAGACAACAAGCAGGTACGGAAATCCCAAAAACATAGTGTGCAGCATAGCAGCGACGTACACGTGGTTTCTTAGCAGTCGAATCGGAATTGCCGCCATAACGCGCTTGTCCCAGAACCGAGCTACAAGTGTCTCCCAGCCCACCAAGGCGATGAAGGAGAAGACACCTACAGTGACTGGGACTATGAAAATAGCCCGATGCCACTTGTCTCCATCCGAGCCAACGTTTTGAAACGAGAAAACAACGAGCACGGAGCCAGCCACGAGGAGGAAGGACCCAACAAAGTCTAGTTCTTTCCAAGTTCGACGTTGCAGGCTTGGGAGGTGCTTAGCCTGAGGCCAAGTCAAGTAGAAAACGACCATGGATACAAATCCAACTGGACCACTAGTAGCAATTTAGCGCCAGCCCGCTATGGCTATGAGTAGACTTACTTGATCCAGAAAATCCATCGCCAAGAGGTGTAATGCGTTAAGATGCCGCCAAGTACGGGTCCAAGAACACCAGCACTAGCGATCACCATTCCTACGAGGCTGGCGATATGCTGGCGCAGATGCTTCGGGCTAACCTCTGGGAATATGATCATAGTAATGGAGTACAAACCTGTTGCAGTCACTTAGTTTCTTTTCCGGTGAGAATACAATGTGTTCAGCATACCAGAGCCGCCTAGGCCTTGTAGTGCGCGGCATGCGATCAACTGCTCAAGGTTCTGAGAAAAGCCGCAGCCAAGGGAGAAGCAGAAGAAGATGACGAAGCTTGCCAAGAAAGCATTACGACGCCCGACAACATCGGAGACTCGAGCAAACAGTACTGCACAACTCAGATAGGTGAGCGTGTAAGCCAACGCGACCCAGTTGATGAGACCCATGGATTCAAATTCTGCGCCGATCGTATACAGACTCGTGGCAACAATAGAAGAGTCCAACATGGACAGAAAAAGGCCAAGGCAAAGTCTAGCTCTTGATCAGTAATGGAGACACAGGCGATGCGGACGAAAGTTACACACCCGACACTCAGTAACCAAAATCTCCATGCTGGCAGGGAGGCATCGCGATATTGATGCCTCGGCAACGTCTCCGCCTTGGTGGTCTCGACATCGCCCCTCAAGTGACCCATCGCTACCTAAGTGACAGTGATCTCAGGCTTGCCTGACAGGCCGTCCGATAGAGCGTTTGAGTGTTCTGATAAGGAAAGCTTGTCGATCGATCGTGAGTACAATATGCGGTATATATATGGCGTTTGGCGACAGCATCGGCAGGCTTGGAGCTTTCTAACAAGAGAGACGAAAGCCAACTGTGCTAGGGCAGGGCAACCTCTCCGATGGAAAGGACAGCACCACAACGTCAGGCTGTAGGTCCTTTGGCTCGGACCATTTGCGGCGACGACGACTCGTGATAAACAGGTACAGCGGTTGGCGGCAGGACAGCACAACTCATAGTGAAGAATGCCGCGGCGTTGAGATGGGCGGAACAGCGAGTGGATGGCGCTTGGGAGGCGCGTCGAGGAGCGAGCAAACACGACAGAGCAGACACGACTCAACGGAGAACCGCGATTAAAAAGACAGTTAGATAGATGGTGCCATTTCCGAACGCAAGGAAAAAACGAGTCGGCGTTCGGAGCGACAAATGGAAACAGGACCGCACGAAAAAGCATGTTCGGCGTTCAGAATGCATTCGCATTTGATCCACTAGCTCCGAACTACGCCCCGAGGCAAGTCACATAATTTAACCACCGTCTCTGGGCAATCAACCTCCTAGTGTGTCTGTATTCGCGGCTCATGGCCCTATTCGTTTGTCTCTCGCCCGACGCTGCCGGCCGTAAGCTGATTCCGTGGGCGAAGACGGCGTGGAGCCGGCGCGCCACGCCGACCCCAGAGACTGAGACCAGTTGTGAGACAAGGCGCAAGGCCAGTGTACGCAAGGGCGAAGCCAACCGAGAGGAACACAAGAAGAGGAAAAAGAAGAAGGTCGTCAAGATTGCAGGCGCTCACTACTTTCGGCGTCTCGTAGTTCTCGCTCGGGGCCAGCATGTTTTGATTACAGATGAGGAATGCTAAGTAGTCAAGACCTCGAGCCGCGCGCCGTTGAAGTTGTGGGCGACAGGCACGGTCTAGGTTCGACTTGAGCCAATGCAACATGCCAGTGGTCGGTTCCCTTGAATCCAACCACGGGTCTCGTTCTTGCCATCTTGTGGGGAAGCCGACTCTTGTGGTCCACGAGCCTCAATACCGAACCTAGCGTCGGAGGTCATTGGAGATCGGGGTCGGTGTCTGCTGGCAACGTGATGATGCACCAAACGCCGGCATAACAAAAAGGGGGCCAACCAAAGCAAGGCGCAGCGCGCATCAGAGACACCGAGCCACAATATGGGTAGACGCCCTAGTGGGCATGCATGCGCGAGGAATGAATTGGAGAATGCGGGCTGAAGGTTGAACAACGTTTCGTTGAGCGTCTCAATCCTTGGGCAATATCCCGGAAGCCCTGGAGGTTCTAGTCGGCTTCGTTTCGGTGTCAGCCAGCATCTGAACGTGTATGCACCTATTCCGCATCAATGTCAAGACGACAAGATACACCTTCCCACCTAGGCGAGCATGATTGCTTTTGCGCAGAAGACATTCATGGAGATGGCGGTGTCTCTGTGGCATCGGGCGCCTGGTGAAAGGTGCGTGAGTCGAAATTTTCTACCAAGTAGGGCGGCCGAGCTCCCTCTCTGCTAAACAGTACTATCGGAGCACTTGCAAGGGGCAAGCAAAAAAGGGGACGGATGGAGACAACAGCAGGACGTGAAGGGCGGCAAGAAAATTCTCCCGCGGGCACGAAAGCGAAAATGAAGGTGAACATGAAAGTTGACTTACCTCCCCATTTTGCTTATTTCCCGATTTCAGCTTGATTTCCTGTCTAGAATAGACGAGATAGCACTCGTGGAAGACTGACAAGACGAGACCTGGGCCCGCTGTCACGCCCGGAAGATAGTTGCCACACTTCCGAAAGAGTGAAGCCACCTCAAGCTCCCGGCACGGCCACCTACCGGGGTCGCCGGGTGTACCTACCTTACCTAGGTCCAGCTCGGATTGCTGTTATGTAAGCATTCCCTGACCAGTCTTTCTGGGACGTGCCGAGCCCTGTAGGTGCCTACCTCGCGTACACTAGTGACTACCTCAGCAAACGCTCCATACCTTACTTACCTACCCTGCTACCTTAGGCAGGCAAGTGCAATCGGATTACCACAGACGCTATTCTTCGAATTGGTTTCGCATCACCCAGCCAGGTCAACCAAGCGGATCAGTCGGCCTTCTACTCATCTCAGCGGAGACATCTCGCGGCAACGGTACCTGGACGTCTTCACAGCCTTCAAGTTCCGTCTGTCAGCGTCACAACATAAGCGGACAACCCTCCCAGATCGTTCGATCCTCTGTGGCGTACAGTCCAATATG